CAGTATTAAAGCTCAAAATAAATCTAATATAAATCTTTACTCTTTTTTAAATTGGTAATTATGCATAAAAGGGACACTTTTACTCAGGAGGGATTAATTTTCTTGTTTAGATATAAATCGTATAATAAACTTAACGTAGAGCAAAGAGTAAATAATTAAATGAAACATTCGCGTTATTTATGTACCGGGACAAGGGTATAATGAAAGAATTGAGAAATTGAGTATACTGAACCGCAATGCATCCAAATTGCCGGTATAATTATGTCGCGCGTGTTACTTGGCTGCACCTGCAACTTGCCGAAACACATAATGTCTCGCAGAAATATTTAAACCTAATTTGCCAGCTTGATATTTCGCGCGTGGCCAGGAGATATTTTGCCAGCCTTCACCCAGCTCGATACGTATCAGAATATGTATGTACGAATCAGCAAATGAAATTCCTTGAGAAATTACACAAAAGATTTTTGAAATCACACAAAGATCAGAACTAATTTCGTTTGCAATTGTTCTTGATTGTCAGTTGGGATTTTCTCGATAAAAGTATCGATGATATCCGCGCAAATAATAAATTTTGCTGAAATTGTCAATATTAAACTCCGGTAAATTCAGTGAAATCATTGTGGAATTGATCGCGCGGTTATATTACAAATCAAATATAGTTATATTTTTTTGTTTTCTTTTCTATTCAAACAAATTCGAACTCTGTGGCACAAACTGCACGAAATAACCGACTTTCAACGAAATTCGCGTGGTGGCCCCCTAATCTGGATATTTGCCAACTGCCCTAATTCAAGGGTTCACCTTCCTAATACCATGTAACATTCGGCACACACCGAGGCCGAGGCAGCGATTGCGCGTCATCTGCTTCTCTCATCGTCTTCCTCCTTTCCATTTTTCGACTTCAGCGTATCCACGTCTCGATTCGTAAATTGGAGTACAAAAAAATTATTAAGTAATTCCATTGTTTCCGTCTACTATTTCGCTCTGCTACGCTACGTCTTATCAGAAAGAGGACTAATCTAATTTAAAGTTTAATAACAATCTTTGTTTTAAGACAAGTTAAACTAAATGAAGAAAAAGTTCTTGTTAATCTATAACAGCACCCTTAAAAACTAATTCACGAAAAGTTCATCATTTTCATCAAAAACTATTCTCGACGAACTTTAAACGAACGAAAGCTTATCGATGACATGCTCTCTCGCATCAGAGAGGACATAAATCTAAAAATACAATTGTCTACTCTGTTTGTCTACTCTCTCGCTCTCAGGATGACAAGACTATGTTTTACGACAAGCTGCACACTTATACGTAAAATGCACACACACGTACACTTGCTCTGTTATTTCTTTAACACTCTTCCCTAGCGAGTTTATACTACGCAAAAGTCTCTAACGTCATTCGTTGCAGAACCGATGGATGGGGTGCGGCGAATCCCCATCTCTCCCCCCCTCTCTCTCTCTCTCGGCCGGAGGGCGCGTATTATGCGGCATACGCATCGGTGCTATACGGGGTGACAGATTATTATGGCGCGCATACTGCTCCCCCCGGCTGCAAGCATTGTGTCGGGGATATAATGGCCTGGACCTGTCTCGGCCACGCATCCACGTCCCTTATTGTTAGTTAGCACGGAATCGTCCCTCTAGCTCACCCCTATCTCACCTCTATCCGAATTTCGCAGGCCTGCGTGCCCTGCCAAGTGCCGTGCAGCCGTCGCAGCTAATAAATCCGCGTCGCTATTAAGAAGACTACTTTCGACGTTTATAGTTTCTCCAAAAAGGTTCATATTCTTATTAAGATTGATCAAGATCCTGTTTTTTTTTATACTGAATAAGTCGTGCGAGTTTCTCTCGCGATTAAAAACTGCGACAAATTTCAGTTAAATTTCAGTTAAATTTAAGAATTTAAAGCAATTACATCATATTAAAATTTATCACGACACGTTATAAAATCAGTTAAAAAATAACAAAGGAGGAACCGCGAAGAAAGAGCAAAGCCACCGTCACGGACCGGTGTAAAATCGGACCCAGTAAAAGAATCACAGTCATATAATCGGGTAAACAATGTGGTGATAAGTTGTCGGTAGAAAGAAGCCTTTGTTGTTTTCTTCGCCACGTTGTGCATCGGGGGGAAGGCTCGAGAGTGAAGGAGAGTAGAGGCACCGCGCCACGGTGTCCGTAGCTGTACAGTGTACTTCCGGTCACGAGGTGGTTCAACAGGTCAGACCAACGGGGGAGCCAGATGAAACCACTTCCGGCCCCAATCGTCCCCCATGTCCCCGTTTTTCTTCCTTATTTCACACACGTGGGTAGCGTCTTTCTTTTTCCTCGCGCCCACCTTGTAGGCTATTGCTTGGAGCTAAAAGACGACGCTCATTCGGAACGAATTCTTTAGTGGAATTTTATTGATTCATACGATCATTCGACACTAAAATAAGTTAAAAAACGAAAATGCTATTAGATTAAGGGGTGCACTTCTGAGATATTAACAAAAAATATCATTTTCCATTGTTTTATGGCCGCGAGTGAAGCAACTGTCGCCGTCAGCCCGAGATTAAACTCGATAATATTCGTGAATTACCATATTTTGCTTTTGCGTAACAAATGAAGGTAATTAAGCGTTTTACCGCGGTCTTTCGCCAAGCTCGCAAGTAGCATGCCGCAGATGCTGCGAAGAAAGGATACCGCGAACGGTAAATCACACGGTCGAGAGATTTTGCGAGATTTGTGAATTTTCCTCTTAACGAAATATATATCATAAAATAAGTTACGCATAATATATTTTGTTAAAGTTATAATTATAAATCGATATAGATATATATTAAAAATATTTCTTCGCATTCTGAGGTTTGTCACTTATTTATTTGGAATAATAAAATAAAAAATGTTAAAACATTTCGTGTAAAATTATGTCAACTGTGCGAAATATACATATGCCTTGGTATGTAATAATCGGATATAATATAGTAGTTATTTCAGTTTGGTACGCAGGGTTGTGAAGAGTTATAAAGTTTGTCGTGACGTACGAGGTGCAGTGTCACACGGAATGCTCGAAACCTCGAAATTACTGACTGACGCGTGCAACCCCAGTAAATCTCTCGTTCCCGCGGGATGTAGACGGCGGAAATGCAATCCGCAACTCCCGACGGTAGTTCATTGAGTCGCTCTTCGTTCTCGCGAGAAAGTGCACGCATACCAGAGCGAACGGTGGCGGCAACGAGTGCATGTGCTGCCGACCGCGTTGCGGTCTTGGCTGCACGTAAACTTTTGCGCGTTTATGCGTGCTGACATTGTGTGTGTATGAATGAAAGAGCGACGGTCGAAGGAAGAACGGAGGGGGTCGAGTAATGGATTCGCCCGTGTGTATACGAGTGCTACGGGCGAAAAACACTCAACCGCGAGTATATAAATATACACGAACGCGTAAACGTGGATGTACAGTATACTTTGTGTAAGCGCGATTCTCTCTTCTTATTCTCGCTTGCTTCCTCTATATGGATTTGGATTGGGAAAGAAATGTAAGTAGTGTCAAAAATTTGTATCTGCAGTGTCAACTACTTTCTATCATCAACATTTTACTGTCATACACTTCATAGCCTTGTAAATAATGCAGCAAAAAAAATTGATAATTATCTTTCTACTTTCAATTACATAGTAAGTTTCAATCGCAAAAATAATATAACGTTCCAGTAAATCGTAGTTTATTTTTCAATTTTCGTGCCATGGCGTACATTCTGATTCATTCATCACAATCGTCCATCACGTAAGACGTATTACTTGGATAAACGAAGCAATATCTCGCGATCGCCCCTCGGCGCGGCATCCGCCGTATCACGAACGAATGATCCGCAGCTCCGAGCACGACGTGCCGGACACGCGCTACGCACGTCCGCGTTCTCGCACTCGCGCGTACGCATCAGCATATACACGTCGCATATGCATATGCACGTACATTGCCGCGTTTGTACGCGCGCGCGCGCGTAAGAACGTAACACGCAGAACACGCTTAAAAAGAAGGGTATGACGTCACGCGCGAGGTGGTGGCACCCGGCGCGTGCCGCCAGTTTCGTAGATGGGGTACGAATTATCGCTCCCGGTGGAGGGGCGAGGAGAGAGGGAGAGAGAGACGATCGCGAGCTGTACCACCGTGAACGTGGGGCGCGGGAAAGCAGGAAGGGCGGTGCAGGCAGGGGGCAGGCGCCCCGAGGTGTCCGCTAGCAGGCAGCTAAGCGAGGGAGCGAGCGAGCGAGCGAGCAGACAGGCAGGCAGGCAAGAAGTCCGCACGAGTGGCTAGGGTGTCGTACAGGGGCTATACGTGCGCGGTGGTGGGGGTGGGCGCGTGCAGCCGGCCTGCAGCTGCCTTGCCTTCTCGCGTTGCCCCTTTTCCCCCCGGCGCGGCGCGGCGGCCCGCTGCCGGGCTCCCTCCTGCTCTCGGACGGTCCCCGCGCCACCGGAGAGCAGCCGCTACCCACCACCCTTCTGATTCGGTCGGTCGCGGGCACAACCCCTCCCGCCTGCTGGGCCAGGGGGGAACCGGCGGGACCACAATTATAAGTAGGGGTGCACCCGGCCTTGCTACCTCCAGTCGAGGGCTGCACTCTGTGACGAGCACGCGCGCGCGCGCGACCACTCGTCGCTCTCACCCCGCACCCCGCACACCGGCCGTCCAGGGCGCACGCGTGTGAAGCTGTGAAGGAAAACGCATACATATATTGTCGCGCGGGAGTAGTAGTATCCGCTGCTGAGCGAGGGAGGTAGTTTCACGAGGGTGAGAGAGAGAAGAGAACGGAGAGATCAACCCCTGTAAATCTTTCTTTCTCTTCGGAGGGAAAACAGGAGCGGGAGCGCGCGAGAGAGATCGCCATCTATCGTTGAGCCCGCGCCGATACAGTTGCCTGGTTGCCTCTGCGTTTGTCGGTGGTTGTCTCGAGTGCCGCGGTGTGGCGTTAGTGCGGTCGGTCAGTGGCGCGAGACGCGCGTATGTATTATACGATTATACGGTGAGGATTTGAGCTTTGAGCAACTATGGGAGGAAGAAGGAGGTGAACGCATGTACGATACATCTTCGATGAGAGTGAGAGAGGACTAGAGACTGGAGTGAAACAACCGAGGAGAAGAGGGGGAGAGAGAGAGGGGACGGAGAAGCAGCGATTTAGCGTCGTGCACCCCTTCTGAACTTTGATCCGCTCGAGGGTCGCGACGTCGCGACGTCGCGCCGCCGACCGCGACAACAATCGGTCTTAGCCCGACGTCTCACGTCGCCGGTATCCTCTCGTCTGCGAGCTCCTCGCTCGCTCCTCGTCCACCTCCGACCATCCGGCCCTTTTCTTTCCCCTTTCTGCGAGCGAGCGGCGCGAGGAGAAGGAGGAGGACCCCTTCCGCCGTCGCGCGACGGGCGCATTGACTCTCTCGTTCATCTTCGACTCGTCATACACACGCACGCACGAGCCCGGAGCCGTGCGGGGATCTTTGGCTCCACCTCCACTACCACGGCGGTTGCCCCACCATTCTTCGCTTCTCCCCCCGTCGGCCCTACTTCGGCGCCCTTCTCCGTTACGGCGCTGCCGCCGATCGCCGAGGGAGTATTCCTCGCGGCGCGACGGCGGGCGATCAGTGCGTGACTCGTCGTTGTTGCGACGATTGCCGAGGACGAGAGCGTCGTAGTTTGTTCCTCGTCAGTGCTCCCTCGTTGGCTCTGGGAGGTATGACCGCGACGGGTTGGTTGTGACTCGTATGAGAGAAAAAGGAAACGGGAAGAGATTCACGACGGCCCGCGGCGAGAGGAAGAGAAAGAAAGAGGATCCTTGGCTTCGTCATCGCTACCTAGATCCCCGGACGCGAAGATCGTCGCCCTTTCCCCCTCCGCCCGGCGAACTCCTCAGCGCGTCTGTCGTCCCACGGATATACTGGAATAAAGTGTGTCAACGGCAAGTGTGTAAAAAGTGAAAACCTGCGCGTGCGATAATAAAATCTCGTTCGTACGTATACATGCCGGCCAAATAAATCGTATACGCGCGCTCGCGTCCGGAGTGCACAGTGGTGAACGAGTTGAATTGAGCCGCGGTTTATTCGCCCGGCCCGGCGCTCGTTTGTTCCGTTCGTTCGTTCGTTCGGTCGGTCGTCCGTCGATTCGCGCGGCGGTGACGACGGCGACGGCGACGGCTCGCATACATCGAGAACGTATCCCGGCACGCGGTTCGTGGCTATGCAGCAGCCCCGCGGTGCCGCGGCGAGACGCAGGTAACGCCGACCGGCCGACGGGAAGACGCGACGCGGAACGACGCGAGCAGAACGCGCGCGGATCGCCGCTCACATCCGCGCCTCCGCCCGCCGCCGCCTTCCGGGCAAGCGCCGGCGGCGTGTAAACACCGAGGGATACGCGACGCGTCAACATGTGGACCACGATGCTCGTGTGGACGGCCGCCGTCGTTCTCCTGCCGACGCCTCGAGCGGTAAGTCCTCGGTTCTACGATTATTTGATTATTATATTCCACTTCCGCGTCTCAAGTTCCTCCTTGCCGTCGGCAACTTGAATCGTCGCGCGCGCGGACTTTAGTTTCCGTGGACATTAATTGAAGTTAGTCAAGGTTTGTCCGACTCCTCATTTCTCCGGCAAGATCTGACGAAGGCGAGAAACAACGTATCTGAGGGACATATAATAGCGTTACCGCTATTGCCAGGTGCCAAGGTTGTCGTAAAACACGAGACGTACACATATACACGCGTCCGATTCCCGGAAATGACGCGAGTACGTGCGTTCCTCGAAATTGATTTGTATATACGAATGAAGGGATTATTCCGTAAACCCCGAACATAGTACTCGTCACGTGTTGTTGTAATTACTAGATATGTATTAGGGAGGGGTTTGCGTCGGCACTCGACACTCGAGTCGCCGGCCTTGGACATCGCGATTCGATGAATGAGTTTGGCACGACAACGTTCGGCATCCGAATCAAGTCAACCAAGCGCCCCGTATGCGCTAGGTATATACGCTACATCTCAGCTCGTAGAGATCGGTAGAGATAGAGATAGAGAGGGAGAGAGATTGGCATTGTTGTAAACTTATTAATATGCGCGGGAAAAGGGAAGGCGCCGCGAGATGCGAAAGATCGGAATAGACTCAACGTAATCGGTTCGCGTTTCGTAACTATCCACAATACGTTCGAGGCTCGGGTCGCGCACTTGCGCAACTTGTGTGATTCTAAGCGGCACGACCCGATTAAAATCGCCTGATGAATAATCTCGGCGTAATCCCGCGTCTAACGTTAAGAAAGCTCTCGCCAATATATCCCTGACCTCGACGAATTTTTTATTCTCTAATCGTTCAACCTTGAGCCGCTAACTCCATTCGGCTAACGGGAAATGACAGCTTGTGCTCTCCGGTTACTGGCTAATGGCGTAAATCGAAGGATCGAATCGAGTTGAACGCGCGGCACGCGGAAAGAGATCCAACGAATGAATCGCAGCACCGCCGCGCGAGAAACGCTTTTCTCGAGAGTCACGACTCCGAATCTTTTTCCCGCGTGAAAATAAAACGTAAAGTTTCTCGGTTTATTTAGTTACAAATTATCCGCGATCGTGCGTCTCCCGTACTTGTCGAAGCCTCCGTCGTGTTTGACACTCGCGGAATTGAGAACCGACTTTCCTTTTTTCTTGCATTCTTTCTTTAGTGCTTCGCAATTCAAGTTTTTTTTTTTTTTACGTTACATCGTTTCTCTCAAACGACCGATTCCGAATGCGACGAGCGATGCATTTCGCGTATTATACGGCCCGTTTCTTCTCTCGGTTTCTTCTCTCCGCACGGATTCCGAGGGAATTCTTCCTGGGAGAGATGTCTCCCCCGGCTTCCCCCCTCCTCCATTCCTCGTGCGTTCTTCTTTCTGTCTACCACGATCTTTCGTGTTTGTGAGCTCGACTACCTTCGTGCTTATCTCTTAGCGCGTTGCTTACAGCTCTGATACTATGAGCTATACAGCGAAAATAAGCACAAAACTGACTTTGCTTTTAGAATCGTCAATTTCTGCAACCGAATTTAATCGACAATATACCTACGCTTGCATTTGTTCTTAGCAGCCGGTTATTCTTTATTCTTTTCTTTTTTTATTTATTATTTATTTATTTATTTATTTTTTCTACTTTAAAGTGTGTGACAGTTTAATTAATTTTACCATCTTGTAAAATTGTTGATTATATATATATTGTCCTCTCCCACAACCAGGGTACTCTTTTTCTCTTCTAAAATTTTCTTTCACCATTCGAAGAGTTCTCTCTTACTATACCGAAGGAGTCCCTAACGGCGTATTCGGCGGTGCACCCAACTCTAAATCTGGATGCACTCTTTTAGAAGTGTCTAGCCCCGCTTCTCTCTCTTCCTCTCCCTCTATATTCGTTTTTCATCTCTCCCCGATGTTGCGCCTAGCGATGATTTCAAACCGCGTAGACTCGTTTCTCTCTCTCTCTCTCTCTCTCTCGATCGCTTATTTTCGATCTTCGTGGAAGATCTTTGCAAGAATCCTGCCGATCGTTGGCGAGAGTTGAGTCCTTTGTTGTCCAGTGCGGGGTGGCGAGGTGTCGCGATCGCGACCTCCCGAAGGAGACACGCCTCAAAGGCGTCTGAAGGGTGGCCCGGGTGGCGGCGAAAATCGTTTTGTGTGTGACGAAACGCACCGAAACGCGTCGGTGCCGTGTGTATATCCGTAAATACGCGTGGCGGCCATTCTCCGTTCCCAGAATAACTTTCCAGCGCGCCAAAAATGAGATTCCTCATCGTGAGGGCAGCGCCGAGGTGCGTGAGGTATATGTGTACGTATACGTGCGACGTGTGTGCGGTGCGCGTGCTCGTTCAATCGTTTACTTTCGCGAGACGCGAACTAACGGGACGGATTCGCGACGAGTGCAATTGCATCGAGTGTCCCGCTTCAAACGCAGCGCGGCGATAGTGGATTGGCAACAAAGACCCGTTCTTATCGCTGAGGACGCTTGTCTGACATCGAACACGTCGCGACGTTTGTGTTTAAGTAAATAAAGTCGGGATCAGGTAGCTACGTACCTCGCGTTTTGCGTTGAAACGCGAGGTAAATCGTATAAATGTAAATGTATTATTCATTCTTTCGCTTTAAAAATAGCTGATTGCCACGAGAGTTGTTCGGTTGCTTCGCGCGATACAGTCTGTATCCGCGACCAACATTTATTTTTATCTTACGAGGTCGTGTAGAATATCTTATTTTTCGAACTTGACGTGACGGGATCTTTGTCGATCACGACATTCACAACTGTGCGCGATATCAAATGTACCTGGAATCTACATACGACATACAAGTTCTTATTCGGTGTGATACTCTATCCATATATATATATATATATATATCTGCACGTCAGCTGATTTAAATTACGCACGATTATACCGCTTACTCCATTTCCCGATGACGGATCACGACGGAACGAGGTTGCTAATGGTGCGCGTAATCGATGCGTGCGAGATACGCGACCGCGAGACCCATGGGAGTTCGATAAAGGAAATCTAATGCCGAGCTCGTCGTTCGGACATCACTATAGAACTTACCGTTCGCTCTCGGCTATACAATATCTCGTGGGAAGCTTCGTTCAGAAGCGCATTCGTGTGCGCGCCCGTGTATACGTAACGTACACACCGATCGCTATGCCTCTGCGTATACGGTGTTCTCGGCGTCGCGACGACTAGGATAGGAAAAATCAGAGCCGCGTATCTGACGTACTGTTTACACTACATATCGGCTCAATCGCGACGATATTGATGTATCGAAGGAATCGTTAAACCTTGACTAACATGCTTTTTCCCCTCGGCAATTATTCCTTGGCTAGATATTTTATTGCACGTTTTTATATTAGATAATAATGACAATGTACAGAGGTTGATCGAGCTCCCGTTCGATCGGAAGGTACAAAGTCGCGCGATTTAGTAGCGTGATGATGGCGCTAGTTAATCGCCGACGATTTTACGTCGCCGAAAAACGCGCTAATCGCTCTGCCGTTTTTCGCTTTGCGCTTCGAGCCGGGTCTCTACTCGGTAATTTCGTTAAGCAGCGCTTCGCGAGCCAACTAGAGCGTTGATGCATTTACGAGCTTGGTCGACCGGCCTCTTTTTGCAGGCGGTTTGTATCCACACGTTTCAAAAAGGAATATCCGTCGGCTTTAACCCTAGAACGCATGTATCATTTTTTTGACCTTCTAACGCATGACTGGGGGCAATATCGACCCCACGCTTTATTTGATCGTAAAACCGGTCCTACAGAAATAAAGGGCCTTTAAACCTACATGAATTTCTTCGTTTTTTAATAACGAAGAGAATGGTATGCGGTAAATTTAATTTTACTCAAGTTTAGTTAGTGAAAAATCCATTTAAAGACCGAAAAACGCAGAAAATCAGCAAAAACCTCTTTTTTTTAAACAAAAATTTGTATCTTTTTTTGTAATCAACCGATTTTCAATTTTCAAACGGGGTTTTAAAGAGGACACATTAGACTATTAGAAAAAAATTGTCATCGCTATGTTCTGTTCAAAAAATATATTTATTTGGGACTATAAAAATGAAGAAATTCGCAAAGTTGAAATATGGAAAAAGTCGATGAAAAAACCATAAAAAATTGTATTTCAAGTATTATTTTATTTTTATTTGATACAAAATAGTAAAAAATATGAAAAAAATGAAACATTATATCGCCCAGCCATTTTCTGCGAAATGTCAATCTTCTATAGGCAACGGGATTTTTACCGACTAAGTTGTGTGATATTTCGTCTTAAATAATATTTATGACTATTTATGCTCAGATTACGTAATAATACATGAAATATATTGATTCTAGCAAAAAAATAAAATTAGCTTACCGTGACGAAACTCAAACGGCAACTCACGACTGGGGTCGATATCGACCCCACGCCCGCTTTGCGACTGTGCTACTTCACTGCTAGCGAACAACTAACGCTGCGCCCGACATAACCCTACTTTTAGAGAGTTGAAATGAATTATGGTTCAGGTCCTGAGTCAATAATGTCACTCGCTAGCTCAGGAGCGTAGTTCAAAGTTCGCCTGGGGTCGAAATCGACCCCTCTCATGCGTTCTAGGGTTAATAATAGCGCTCTGGCAGTTCGTCAAGTGGCAAGAAAAAATTTTTATTTTGAGCTTCTTTCTTTACTCGGAAAAATAACATCTGAATTAACATAAAAAAGATATATGTTTGTGTGTGAGATATATTTCGCTATTAATGTTTTCTTTACATATATACTAATTAATTCTTTTTACTAATATTTTATAAAGATTTTAAGATAAAACGAGTCATTTTGAACGCTTGAAAAGTCACTGATCACTAGATCTTAAAGGCAGAGCAAAGAATACGACCAACTAAACTACTAAACCAAGCTCGAATTTATTCGACGCAGACAAAAACCAGAATCGTCGAATCTGCGGTAAATCGTAGCGTATTTTCGCAATTCGATTATAATGGCGAAGCGCGACGACGAACTTGTATGCTTCTCGCGGGATACGTTCTCGCGCAACGAGCGAGCGAGAGAGGATGCACGGTTTTTGTCGCATCGACTCGGTTTTCTCCTCCTGGGAGACGTGCGTGACACGCGTTCGCAAAAACGTGCGCGCACACGTGCTCCTGCGGCGTTTCACATCATGGGGCACGAGACGACGGCGACGTCCCCCGTCTCGCGGATAGAGAGAAAGAGAGAGCTTCGTTTGATACCAAGTTCTTTTTTTGCGTGTCCCATGATGATTCGTCGCCAACTGTGGACCAGATCCACCATTATTAAAGTCATTTTACGATTGCACGCGTTACAGCTGTTAAAAAGACTGTTGAAGTGTCCCGTTATATTCGACACGCCCCGAAGAACGCTTTTTTCGTGATTTCCAATATTCTCGATTAATTCTTTATATTAAGATATTTTTCACATGAGTCAGTACAATAATTCTCAATTTTCAACGCATAATCGTAATATCTAAGATAAATTTTTATCTAAGATAAATAAAAGATCTTCGTTTAGAATTGATATATATATTTGGCGATTTTAACGTTTCTACAATTTTAAACGTCATGTTTTAAATTTCAATTTCGATTTTTAATATCTACAGTTTTAGTTCGTCACAAGCTTCGGAAAATTTCGTATGTCGATAAGCTAAAATGACGAGCACCAATTTGCTTACGTGTATCCTCTCGAAGTAACGTCCGTAAACGCACGTGTTTTACAGGTGAACGCCTCGGGGGTGTTCGAGCTGAGGCTAAAGTCCTTCGTGAACGAGTTCGGCAAGGACAGCCTGGGCAAGTGCTGTTCCGGCAGCGCGTCCAAGACAGGCGAGTGCTCGGGGGTCTGTAAGACGAGGTTTCGGGTTTGCCTGAAGCAATACCAGGTGAAGATCGACACGACGTCGCCGTGCACGTATGGCGACGTCGTGACACCCGTTCTCGGCGAGAACAGGATTAATCTCAGCGCGAACGTCGCTTTGCCGAGCTTCACCAACCCCATCAGGTTCCCGTTCGAGTTCACATGGCCGGTAAGTCTTTTTACTATTTACTATATTCTAGATCGTGTTACGTTTATTATCCTCACAACCTAACATTCGCTCTTTCTCGAATTATTCCGAATGTTTTGGTTAACAAAGCTTCCTACATAACCGAGTGACAAGATTGTACGTGTCTCGGTTATCAACAGAAATATAATTTAAAATTTGATTATATTTAATGCTCGAAAAATCAAGAAGCTATTTGGACCACCCAACAAAATTTTTTATTGGGAGAAAGTTTATTAAACTTTTTATGGTTGATATATACAAGTAGTAGCAAGACACCTTGCGTGTCTAGTAATAGCATGGAACATTATACTCGTATATGTGCGTAGGATGAGTTCAACATTCTAAGGGATATATCCTTGACGAATTATACGCGATAATATATAAACTTATGAAAGGCGATCCGCTATGTGGTGCTATGATTAATCAAGTTTTGGTTTCGAAAGTCTGTGTATGAGTATCGTTAAAAATGTTAGAAATTTCATCAGAGATTCCATATGAATTTCGAAATATGTAGGCGGGTTTAAAATACGTTTGCGTGCAGTGTTTAACTCGAAGCGACCTCATCTTAGCGATGTAATTTCGATGCGCGTGCGATATATATGGGGAGACACACGTGCGTGCGTCGTGTAGTCGAGTAGGCGAGGGAGAAGTTGCACGCGCGTCGTCGGTCGCGTTGCATTTGCAACAGGTCGGCAGCGGCGGCCGTTCTCGCTCGCAACGACTTTGATTTTTGCCTCGCTTGACGCGCACAATTAACGAAAAGGGGGAAACGTGCTTTTTTTCCGTCCTTTCTCTCGCGTGCGCGTAACGCGCGTCGGCCGATACGAACGTGCAGGATCGACGCACTCTCTCGCATCTGCTTTTTCCCTTCCTACTTTCGCGCGCGCGTTGCAACGAGATCGTTATGGCGTACGGACAGGTTGATTGTGTTAAAGGAATGAGAGAGAGAGAAAGAGAGAAAAACACCGAGAGCACGTGTATAGGGGTTGCGTTTGCGTGGCACGTACGACGCGTGTTGCCAACGTCGCTTGCACGCGTGCATGCGTACGCAGCCGTCGGTGCAACCGAGAGAAAGAGAGAGATAACGAGGGCAAGAGATAGATAGATCGAGAAGGGGGAGGGAGGGAGAGAGTTGGCAGATGCCGCGGAGAAAGAGAGAAATAAGAGAAAGAGAGAGTGAACAAGGGGAGAGTAGCACTTGTCTTTCCCTCCTGCTGTTGTTGATGCTGCTTGCTGTTGCTGGCGTTCATAGTTCATAGGCGCCGAAATGTAAATATGGTAGAAGTAAATAGATAATATAATCGATGAAAGTCGTCGAATCGTAGATCGGAAAATTGACGATATCACGGTATAAAGATATTTATAATTTATTTATGTTTTATCTAGAGAGAGATATAAAAAAGTCGATATTACATATGAAGCATCGATAAGCGAGGTAAGGACATTTGTTGTATCTTATGACGAAATTATATAAAAAAGGTTCTCAAGGTGCATGTGATGTAACGTGATTTATAGAGTCCAAGAAATATTTATTCAATTCAATTTATAAGGCTCCAAACTATCTTGTAACTGCTATGTAAGTTTACACGCAGAATTTAAGCTCCACGTATTTATTTATCAGTAAATTCGGTAAACAATTTTTTTTACCGTTTCCACGAATGGCGATGTGTTTTCGAGCCGAAACTGCACGCCAATGTACAGCATCTTTGGACGCACGTCAATCTTCTCATATCGGTGCTCGCGCATTTCTGACTATGGTTCTGACTATGAAACCGCCGCTCCGCAGCAGATGGCCGGGGTCTTTTGCGCCTCTCCACACTTCCCACGTACTCTTGTCTTCGCTCTTTCTCTCTCCTGTTCTCTTCTCTCGCCCTCCGTGCTTTCTCGTGAGCAGAGTTAAATTTACTAACCCATATGGCGCCCCTCGCGCCCCCCTCTCTCTATCTCTCTCTCTGTCTTACACATTGACCGTTTTTCGAAGTAAGCGCACTGAGAGAACCAATCAGCATCACGGAAAAGCGTCAACGATAAAACCTCTTACACGGTTTTTTATGAGTAAATTTTCTTTTTGAAATATATAATAAGATACGTTGTGAATTTGTCGGTCCTGCCTACTTGGCAGGACTTGAGCCGGAGGCAAAATAAATTCACTTTCTCTTTCTCTTTCCCATCTATACCCGGGTGATACAGGCACGTGCGTGCTTCGACATTTACCACCGGTTGAACCCACAACTCGGCGGCTGATAGGATTATCGCACGATGCACCGATGTCGAAATTATCCCGAGAGCAGTTGCCGATATTCTACCCGGCATTTGCTTTGATGTAGCATCAAACGAAGTCGGTAGCGGCCCTCGGGTTCTCGGAAGACACGGTCACAGTTCGCGGAGAACTTTTGGTGGTTCCTGACCGATTTCTGGCCGACGCTCGTGTCGGATATCGCCGACTTCGCTTGGCGAAATAGCTCGAAACCGACGTAAGCCGCAATCGCTATTTGGAGTGCTCGATTTATTTTCGTAGCTTCAAAAGCAAGAACCGTTTTAACTACATTCTAAATCCCATATCGTAAGATCAGCTTTACATAAAGAGAATTGAGAAAAGTAGTGATGAGAAAGACCATATATAGTATAGATACATAAGCGTACTAATAATTTGTTTTTTATTTTATTTAATACTATCGTGACAAATAATTTACATAAACGGTTTGTTACATGACGCGTTTCTACAGCACGATATAACGAAGGACAGTGAAAAAGTGAATTAACTCGTTGTTGCCGCTGATTACGGCCGAGTTCGCAATTAGTAAATTGACTCGCGACTCACGAGCCGTACTTACGCACGAGCATTGGACGAGCGAGAACCGATAAAATAGCTACTATAAATAACAGTTACGTGCAATGCGCGTAAATCACTTCCCTGTGGTGTGCGACTGAGATGCGCGAATTAATGGCCTTTCCATCACTGCAACTAGGTTCATTAAATGTTCGTGCGTACAATTAGCGACACAATTCGACGAATCTAAGAATGAGTTTCGCGATTTATTAAAAACAATCGTTTTACCGACTACATGCACAATTTATATATATTTCAGTGAAAGCTAAGTCAGGTGAAATTTTAATAACAGATTTAAAAAAATAATTTTTTTATAATTTTTTTTTAATTAACAAAATTGGGTTTTTTTTTTTTAATATTAACATAGAAATTCCAGAGAAACTTTCCTAAAAAGCAAATGAACATTCTCGCCAAAGCAATTTTTTTTCATACTTATTTCTTAAATTATTTGTCGGTGGGCGCCCCGAGGAATGCTTGTGGTATGTCATTCGGCGGCATGCGTCGTCGTCTCGATACATAATCGTAACCTTCGCAGACGCTGCAATCTCTTATGCGTGCGTGCGTGCGTGCCGCGGTCTCTTATGCGCGCGCCTTAATTGGCTTTACGTTCGTGTACACGAGCCGCCTTATTAAAACAGCACGAGCTGCACGAGGCGACTAGCGACAGTGCGGCTACTGTGCTCGATCGTTGCGCACGCTTCTCGCGAGTGAGCGCACCGTCGCTCGCGGGGCGCGCCCGCGCCCGCGCCGCGCCGTACAGCGTTGAGCGTTACACGATTTTCCGCGCGCACTCGCGCTAATAGCACGCACGCTCACTCACTTGTTTGTTCGCTCCATTCTTTTCCCGCTTTCGTTACTTGTCGCATGGGAATTCCGCCGTCGTGCCATTCTATTTTTAGCCGATCACCGTAACTTTTTTTCGCGATAAATCTCACGCATTATCGTAAGGTAGACGTTGACGTTAGAGTGGTCAGAGGAATACTAAAGTACACTCGGCTATCGATATTCGTCTCGTATTGCTATAGCATTAATTAGGAAAATTGTCAAAGAAAATTGCAATTAATCTGTAATGACAGAAATAACGTAGATAATTGAATTTCAATTCAGATGTCTACTAAATATTGATTTTTACGAATAAAAAGGGTATCGGATGGATTCACTAGCCTATAAAGCAATTTGTATTTTTATATAGATGTGATTTCGTATCAGACGATAATATTGCCAAAATTCTAACGAGGGATACTATACATTAGCGTCATAAGCATTCTTAAATGCGTTTTCGTGGAACGCGATTGCGAGATCGAGACTCGAGGAAGAACAGCGAGAGGCAGAGGACGAGGGAGCCGCGAAAGTGATGGGAATCGCGTTGCAGGAAGAAGGGAGAGGAAAGGTGGGGCTCGAAACTAAGGCGGCTAGCGAGCGAGCAGGCGAGCCGTGGGTCCCACGGCCGAAAAGGCTGCGTGATTCGCGTCCCAGACGAAGGCACGAGCGGCGAAAGGTCGAATGAACGAACGAACGAATGACTATACATGTACGGGGGGTGGCGACAGTAGCTAGGTGATTCGGCGCATCGCGACGCGGCTTACATTTAACACGAATTATGTAGACGCGAAGGGAGAAAAAGGAGACGACAACACGACGCGACAGCAACGGCGACGGCGACGGCGACGGCGACGCTCGATTCCCGAAACTCCGCTGATGCGTATTTTTAGTTCCGCCGCGCGTGCGAGCTTGCGAGACTCGCACGCGATCGACCTCTTTCCCTACCGGCGGTTAATTCCTATGTCTGCGTGCGGTACCTTCCTTCCTTCCTCCTTTTCTCTTCCTTTTCGCGTGCGTGTCACAGCACGAACTACGGAACTTAGAACCTATTACGCGTCGACAAAGTTTTATTTCGATTCGAGACCTTCTCTCGAAATCAACGAACATGTTTTTAGCGAAAGGATACACTTGTTATTATTTAGGTATATATATATATATATAAGATTTATATATATTTTCCACATATTCTTTTTTTATACTAATTAATTTTTAATAATTGTTTAAATGGATTTTATTTGGCAGATGTACAAATAATATACTCCTCAACATAGATTAAAAAGGATTTATAACAATAGAATGGATTCCCCATGAATTGCGATCGAAGCAATACGCTATTTGTTTGTAACGGTAAAACTCGGCAAGTTTCCTTTCGCTGCAATCGAGTTCAAGTTTTACTCCGCGAGAGTACAAAAGTATTGAGTAACGGCTGGTGCGTCGCTTCCCCGATGCACTTCCGATCTTCTCATCTCCCAGATTCTTGTTACGACATCGCTCGGGGTGCCCGTTTACGCGGAAGCGCCGCTTCTTAATCCATCCCATTTCCTCTCCCAGACCTTGTTTCCTGTTACTCTTTTGTCGCGCGCATATGGTCTTTCTGGCTATAAAAAAAGGGAACCTTAAATATATAAAAAGGAGGGGAGGGGGAGAGAGAGAGAGAGAGAGAGAGAGAGAGAGAGAGAGAGAGAGAGAGCCTCACATAATAATGGCGAAAATAGGTTTTTGTCTCAAGGCTGCTTATTGTCACTTTTCGCGATGGTGTGCAGGCAACATCATTTTCATATAACTTTTGGAGCGCTATGTTCAGAATGACTATACAAAGTCCGTTGAACAAACATGTAAAAAGTGTGAATATAGGAAGTATTTATTTTATTCTAAAAAAAAATGATATTCACACGCGCTTTTAACGCTTCATTCTATAATTGTTACTTCCGTAGAATTCGATCGAAATTCCTGTTACAAGGCGTCACTGTTTACCCAGTCACTCTTTCTTCGGCAACTTTTGTCTTTTCCCCCATAACGCGCCATCGACAAAGCGAAAATATGGTTTGTAAGCGTGTATCTGCCCTCACCCTTTCTCCCTCGTCACGTGGTCATCGGGCAGGTACGCATCACCTGATGCACGCGCGTGGGTGAACCTTATTGACTGATTGACTGACCAACTGCTCGTTTCTTGAACGATGTACGGTCGCACGAGTGATATCATTATCGATTCCATCGTGCGAGTCGTTTAATTCCGGTTAATTCTTAAAATCATTTTTTATATTATATGATAGTGTCACAATATTGTATAACGACCGTGTTTTTACAAATCGAGAGAAAACTTTAACTATAATGTTCTTTTCTTTTTTTAACAAAAGAAGGCTCTTGATGTTTTTTTCATATTGATAACGAAACTTTTGTATGCAACGAACAACGATTCGTAATTGATTACAATAAGAGTTGAAAGTTGGAAACAGTAATGGCCAGTCCGATCGAAGCGTGCATTAATAAAACAGGTCGCATCGCTTCGCATTAAGAATGGCCCGTGAAAGCGTGACTTTTGTTCGCATTACGGCGAACGGGGAAGGAATAGAGCGGGAGCCATTCATGTTGATTCCACTCACGAGTAATTATCCAATGTTACTTTTCGGAATATTCGCCTAGCCTCCAATTTCTCTAATTTCGAAATACAGCTTATAAGTAACACCCTCTATTATTTCCTGAAATATAATTTGAAAATATTCCGAAAGATTTCGACTCTATTTGCGATATCTTTCTTTCTCTTGTTCGCACGTTCGGTTTCATATTACAATATTACATATACATATCGGCTGTATCGCGACTGCCTAGTGCCTATCGGTGTCCTTCCGTCTGACTCGTCTATTTTTACCGCGTCCTTTCATTCCTGGATGTGCCGCGCTGCTCGGCGCGTAGCGACGGGCGTTCTCGGGGATTAGGTAACGCGTTTCCGCGATGACTACAGGGACGATGGTGAAATTTTCGCGGCCGCCTTCGAATCGAAAGGAGGAAGAGGAAATCGCGGATAACGAGCGACGACACTATGCCGCCGACGACGATGCATTTACATGTAGACCGTTCGCTCTCTCCGTCTCTCCTCTTTCCTCTACGCGACCGTCTTCCGCGATGATTAATACGCGCGTATATATACGCGCCCGCGCTCCGAGATTGCAGGCTACGTCCTGTTGTACGTGAAGAAACGCGAGTCGACGGAGAAAGAGAGAAAGGAAGCAGACGAGAAGAAGAAGCGAATCACTGGATAGAGAGGACGGTCTACGTGAGAGTTGAAGCGAGAGAAACGACGAGAGAAAGAGAGCGAGAGGGAGATCGAAAGAGGAGCACACGCGGGCCCGAGAAGAAGAACGACAAAGCAGCGCGGCGCGGCACGGTGGTTCGGGCTGACGGCGGTGAAGAAGGGAAAAGAGAGGCGAGAGAAGGTGGAGGTATGCTGCGCAGCCGTGGGAACCGACTGCCGAGCGAGCGAGCAGCTCGCTCTCCTCTCTTTCTCGTTCTAGCGCAGCGGCCGTCGCGCCTGCCGGCTCTCGCTCTGTCGTAGCAGCCGCTCCGCTCCGCGCCGCGCCTGTCGCCTCTCCCTCTGTCGTATTCGGCCTCTCGCTCTAGCACGCGCACCGTCGGCACCGAGAGGACTTCTCTGATTCTTCTTCTTCTCTCTCTCTCTCTCTCTCTCTCCTCCTCCTCCTCCTCCTCGTCATCCCTCGCGTCCGCAAGGAAAAGGATCGGGCTAGGACGCGTTTCCTTACCTACCTCCCTTCCTCCTTCCCTCTCGGGCATATCCTTGCCGTCCTCGCCCGATCGTCTTTATCGTCCTGTGGATTTCTCAGCCCGCCTTCCGCGACCGGCGGTCGCGCTGGTCGTCAGCAATCGCCGCTACCGCTACCGGTGCACACGCATACGTACATACACACACCGTACCCGCCGAGGCGCATTGTTCCCGCAGAGAACCGCGCCTTTTTTCGAACGCCTGGTCGCGATTCCTCGCCGATTTCATTCCAATCCCCCGTAATAAATTAGCGGACGATCACGGTGGCATTTGTCTTCTCGGCGATTTATTCTCTCCTTTTTTCTCTCTTTTGCTCCTGATTTGTTGCTCTTACCACAAGGTACCTTACGATCTTTTTTCTCTCGTTTTCGTTAAGTACACGTCCCGCGTGTCTAAACTTCGAGACGCGTCCTTGCCGCGAGAGAAAAAGGCGGTATAGCCCTGTTTCTCGTCTCGCTTCCGTCTACGCCTACTATGTTCTGCCCTCGTGTTCCTCGCTTTTTCGCCCTTCTCGCGTGTTCGAGGCTCTTGTGCCTTGGACCGGTCTCGAACTACGTCTCGCACATTCGGTATCTCGTCGTGAAAGATGTGTGTATATGTGTGTGTGTGTGTGGTGCACCACAACCTGCGCTCCTCTCTTTCTCCATTCGCTTTTTTTAGCAGAGACAAATTGCTCCCTCGTCCTTCAACCCTTTCGCGGCGAAGGGCGAATGCGTACCTGTACCTGTACGCGGTCCATACTTACGCCGCAAAGTTAATTTTAGGTGGAAATATCCATACAAGTATGCGAAATATGCAGGAAATAATGATCGATAATGTTAAATAATAATATGTTTTCTCGTAAGAAACTAATTACTTGCCGGAAAAGTCGATAGATAAAATTTGAATAAATATTTCCTTGATTTCATTACCGAACATATATCTAAATATTGATTTATTTCAACATTTATATACTGTGTAATCTTATTGCTGTATTATTTTTTGCCTCGCGGTTTTCGTTTTGCACGTCGAGATTGCGTTTAAAGCGGAAGGAAAGCTCGCGGAAGATGAGAGAGCGCGGTGCGTAACGGAGTTCGCGCATAAATTTCCATGTGCGAGATGACATTCGCCATGGGATTACCGAGGGAGACTCGTTTACGGGAACTCGGGCGAAACACGGGCGGGAATAACGACGCCGGCGGATATAAACATTTATTATTCTCCGCGTGGCAACGACTAACGAGGTCGCGCATAATACCGCGAGCCGCGCGGTGCTCTCTTTCTGTGTTTACCGTACATGCTCATGCGACGTTAAATAATTAAACGACGTATTATCACCACACATACGTGTAGCGTAGGGTATGCTGCGTCCAGCACGTACGTGTATTACACCGTGTGGCCTCGTCGCGACATGTCCAAGTGACTGTAGTGCTGTAGTGCCTCGTGTGGTTTCTCGGCGACGGGGGAACATCATTACGGTATTTACGAGCTGTCGTTTCGAGTATCTCTACTTGGTATCCCTCAGCCTTTAAATTACGTCGCTCGGAACAGCCATGTGTGTACAACGGGCACCCAAGTTTCCTGCGTTTCCTGTCTCATTTGGGGGGGCTGTTCCACGGTCGCTTTGGAACAGATTTCTTTTTGACTCTTAACTTTCGAATTCGTAATTGAACAGATTTTATTTTGTTAATTAAAAGTATATTAGGACGAAAAGAATTAGTCGAGCAAGTTAATCAACAATACAGGAACGATCTTAAAAAATTACCGAAGATTTCGTGAAATCGGGAGAATCAACGTAAATTGAACTGGCAGAGACAAACTGGCTAACGACATTTCGTAGATGATTTATTTAGCGCAATTGATCGTAGTTTTCACATGTCAGCGCACTTAGCACGCGCGCATGTGTATCTCAATGCGACGCGTGATTTACACGGAGGGTACCTCATGTGGTTATATGGAAGTTGACCCCTGTGGGGTTGCAATTTCCCCTCGTGCCTGGACGATAACTCGAAAGGGGGTGATTTTCGCGCGTGTCGGCCCCCTTCCTGTCCTCTTTCGCGTTCTGCGGGTCCCCTCCCTGACCTCCCTCTCCCTTTACCAGTGACGCGTAACCGTTTCTCCTCGTTCGTTCTTGATGTGCACGCTCGTCGTTCTGCCGGCGGGCGGACGCGTGGCAACGCGTGGCAGGTGTGCACGTGACGCAGCACGTCGCAAAACGTTTAATTTGTTGTTAACCCTTTCACCACGGAAATATTTCCTTTAGCGTTACCGTTATATTTCGAAAGTGCGCACGGTCGAAAAATATGAATGACGCGCACTTTTTTAATTATCGGCATTAAACCTAATTACAAGACTTATTAATTTTGTCTGAAATTTTTGCTTGAATTCTCCTTTTGCTTTCCTAAACGATTATATGACAGCAATTTTTTTTAATTATTCTGATTAGAAACGCACGAGACTCACGTAACCTTTTTTCTGTTTACAGGGTACATTCTCGCTGATAGTGGAAGCTTATCACGATACGGACAACAGCACACATCAATCGGCCGGTGAGTGTAATTTCTTTTTTTTTTTTTACTTTTTTAGATTCAAGATAGATCTTTACGAGAGTCGGCGAGGAGATCGGCCGTTGTTCCGCGAACAATCGTCGCATTTTCATTGTTCTATTCAGTCTCTATTGCCGCTGGTCGTTCCTCGTTTGTAACTGCGCGTTATTACGGCAACGCGTCTCCGTTGTGTCATACCGTTGTGTCGTCGACCAAGAGCTGCGGGAGAGAGAAAAGTG